GATAGATCCAGCATTTTATTTTATTTTAATCTTATTTACTGACTCTAAATCAGAGAGGGAACTACCCATCTTTCTCACATGAGCCCCTGGTGAATTAAAACAGCTTAGGGTTAGCAGAACAAGTTGCTACAAACTGCCCCCAGAGTTCCCTTTGGCTCTACAATCATAGATATATTTACAGAATGTACAACACGTTTTCAGAAATATCTACCAAACCTATGTACACAGTCCCTTTTACTTGCTCATTTTGTTTGTTTTTCCTAAGTGCCGAACCAATTGTTTGTGGCTTAATGCTTCTTAAGAATAGTAATGCAGGATTCAGTATATAATAATCATTTTCTTTCTTGTCTGCATTGCTTGTGCATCTCTCTATATCCTTCATATCTTTAGTGATATTGTGCTGCTAACACTAAGCTTTTTTAATTCAACCTAGGAACGTGCTAGTGATTTAGATAAGGTACATATGTGGTAACTCCAGGGACAGGGACAGGCACAGAAAAGGCAACCCATGAGAATAAGCCAATCATATCATATACCTTGTTTTTTGTCAATTTGTACTTTCTTGAAGAGGCCACAGCCTACACCCTAAGTTCACATCAAGAGCAAGCTGAGCCCTCTGCCTACTCATTCCCACTCTAGAGTGCATCTGTCTGCAAGACAATATACTTGGAGATTATTTTATACTTCCAAGAGCACCGATATCACAGGGGAGTGGAAAAGAAATGGGAGGACACAGGTGGTGGGAGGCATAAGCCTTCAAACCAGAGTTGGCTGGCAGCTAGGAATGGAAGATGCTGGAGGGCAAGAAGGGGGAATTGACATGGATGCTAGTAGGGTAGGGTGAAGGTAGAAACACAAAACATGCACCAAAGGGGTGGGCCTCCAGGACTAAAACCTCATGTGTTGCCTGCGTACTCTCATCAGGTCTTTTGAGGAAAATGCTTGTCTCTCAAATATTGCTCTAAAGCTGAGCACCCAAATTAAGAGAGACTAGGAAAAAGGATTGGCCATCCACTTCCAAAGTAACAGGCCTTCAAAGACACTATGTACAACAGAGTATGCTTTGATTAGTTAAGCAGATGTGGCACCAGAGGCTAGCCTTCATACTGGGACTCACAAGGGAGGAAGAACAGTTGCAAAGAGACCCTATTGATTGGAACATGGAATGTTGAAAATATGAATATAGGAAAATTGGAAATCATTAAGGAAAAATGGGACACAAATATTGACATACAAGGCATTGGCAAAATTAAGTGGATCAGCATAGAACATTTTTAATCAGGCAATCATATAATCTACTATCCTGGAAATGAAAAGGTGAGGAAAAAATGTGGTCATAGTGATAGTTAAACAGACCATTTCTAGAGTCATCTTGAAATACAATGTGTGAGCAGCTGGATAAAATCTATACACATACAAGGAAGACCTGTCAATACCACTATCTTTCAAATTTATGCACCAAAAACCTGAGTCAAAGAGGGGGAAATAGATGACCTCTACCAACTGTTGTGATCAGAAATCAATTGAACATGCAATCAAGATAGATTAGAAATAATGGGTGACTGGAATGCAAGTGTTGGGAACAAGGAAGAAGGATCAGTCTTTGGGAGACATGAGTTTGATTACAAAATGATATTTTTGATAGAATGATAAAACTCTGAACAAAGATTTCTTCACTGCAAATACCTTTTAAAGAGAGACAGTGACTGTGCATATGGACCTCACCTGATGGCCTGCACAGAAATCAAATTGATTACATCTGTGGGAAAGAAATGCTGGAGGAGCTTAAAATTAGTTGTGAAAACAAGTCCAGATGTTGATGGTAGAATAGATTAACTACTTGTATGCAAGTTCAAACTGAAGCTAAAGAAAATAAAATCAAAGCCACAACAACCAAAGTATGACCTTGAATCTGTCCCTCCTGAATTTAAAGACCATCTCAGGAACAGATTTGAGGTCTTGAATTCTGATGAACAAAGATCAGATGAGCTGTGAGAAGATTTCAAGAGTAACATCCGTGAAAAAAGTGAAAGGCCATTATAAAAACAGAGGAAGAATAAAAGACCAAGATGGATGTCAGAAGAGACACTGAGTATTGCTCTAGAGAGTTGGGAAACCAAAGCAAAGGGGAAAAGTCAAGAAAGACCAGAACAGAAGATTTCAAAGGGTAGCAGTGGAAGACAAAGAAAAGTGTTATAATGAAATGTGCAAGAAACTGAAGAAGAAAATTCAAGTGTCAACCCTGGAAGCATCATAAAAAGATGGAAGGAGTACACAGTCACTATACCAAAAAAATATTGGCTGATACAAAAGAATTTTTTAAACAACATATTATCAATAGCCAATGATGATGAAGGAGGAAGGTCAAGCTGCTCTGAAGGAATTGGCAAAATATAAGGCCTCATGATTGACAGCATACCAATGGACATAGTTCAACAAACAGATGTTGTCCTGGACGTGCTCACCAAGTTGTGCCAAGAAATCTGGAGGACAACCACCTGAGTGACTGGAAGAGATCCATATTTATTCCCATTTAAAAAAAAAAGTGATTCGATAACATGTGGAAATTATTGAACAATATTATTAATATCACATAATATTCAGATTCTACTGAAAATTATCCAAAAATTACTGCAGCAGTACATGAACAGAGAACTGCCACATGTGTAGACTGGGTTTATAAGAGGTCATGTGACTAAGGACATGACAATGTTACATAGATCTTAGCTTAAAGCAGAGAATACCAGAGGAAAGTCTATCTGTGTTTCATTGACTATGCAAAGCCATTTGACTGCACATCACAACAAACTATAGTTAACTTTGCGAACAGGAATCCCAGAACACTTGGTTGTGCTTGTGTGAAAGCTATACTTGGGCCAAGAGGCAGTCATCAGAACAGAGCAAGGAAACACTGTATGGTTCAAAATATTCTTATTTATACACCTTTTCTAAGGTATATACCTGAGATACATCCTATCTCCATACCTTTTCAATCTATCTGCAAAGGATCACCCAGGAGGTTGGGCTCTATGTGCAGGAATGTGGCATCAAGACTGGAGGAAGACTCATCAAGAACCTGCGCTATGCGATGACACAACCTTGCTTGCTGAAACTGAGGAGGATCTGAAGCAGAAGCACAAGGACTTCAGCCTTCAATATGGATTGAAGCTCAACATCAAGAAGACAAAGATTCTCACCACTGAGCCAACTGGCAGCATCCTAATAGAGACTGAAATTGTTAACAGTGTCAGTTTGCTTGACTCCACAAGCAACAAACACTCTTGGTAACAGAAGCTAGGAAATCAAGACGACTTGCATTGGGAAAAAGTGCTTTCAGGGACCTGAATACTGAGGAGCAACAAAGTCTGGAGACTAAGGTATATCTGATCCAGGCCATGGTATTTTCAATTACTTGCTACGCATCAGAGAGCTGGACAATGACTAAAGATGACAGAAGAAGAATCAATGCCTTTGAGTGATGGTGCTGGAGAAGAGTTTTAAATAGACCACGTACTGCCAAGAGAACAAACAGGTCTGTCTTGGATAGGGTGAAGCCAAGTTTCTCCTTGGAGATGAGGATTTGGAAGCTTCTTCTGACATACTTTGGGCCTATGGCAAGGAGAGATTAGTCTTTAGAGAGAACATAATCTTTGGAAGGGTGGATTGACAGCACACGAGAGAAAGACCTCAAATGAGATGGATTGATGCAGTAACCAGGGTAGTAGACATAGGTGTGTCACAGTCAGTGAGACTCGCTCAAAGTAGGGCAAGGTTTAGAGCCATTGTATACAGGGTTACTATGAGTTGCAGGGGTGATAAAGGATATACTGGTTAATTCTAGTTCATAAGGGAAATTCTTTAAGTATCTTTCCATAGAGACTAATATTAACCACTGGTTTGTGTGATACTACTTCAGAATTTATTTTGACTCATAAAACCCTCCAATGAAGTTCTGAGTCTATAAATGGTTTATATATACACATACATACATATATGTTTGTTGTTGTTGTTGTTAAGTGCCGTCGAGTCACAGGTGACTCATAGCGACCCTATGAAGGAGAGTCCTTGGCGCTTGGGTGCCTTTCATCCTCTCTCCAGGTTCATAGGGTTTCCGGAGGCAAGCTATTATGGAAGTGGATGCCACTCCTCCTTCCAAGCTTGTTTTAATCGGGGAGCTCCACTCCACTCTCTGTCCGCATTGTGTAGCCAACCATTAACACATTTGACACATCAGTGTCACAGTGATATACATATATATAAATATACACACGTATGTTGGTATGTGTGATCTTTAATTATTTTGAGAAATTTTCCTTTCGTTCCTATTGTGTTAAGTGTTTTTATCAGAAATGAGTATCAGATGCCTCTTCTATGCCAATTAATATTATCATATGATTCTTTTACTTTATATGGTAGATTATACTGCTTATTTTTATAATATTAACCCACTCTTATATAACTGGTATTAGTTCCATGTGATCATTAGCTATTATTTTTTTAAACAGCATATTAAATTCTCTTTTTATAATTTTTTTATTAGTCTTTCTTTTTAATGATAAGAAGAACTACATGGAAATAGTTCTCTTTGGCCAAAATGGAAAATAAAAGAACAGTCGTCCTCACAAAATAAAAAAAAAAAAAGAGAATGCATTTATATGTGATTCTGAAATTAAACACTTGAACCATGGTGTTTTGTCTTCCTGGCTTGACCTCTAATTTTAAATTTATCAAATTATTGTATGGTAAAAGGAAATAGGAACGTGTAAGCAGTTATTTAAAGACACGCCCATATGATGAAGTACATAAAAATTGTGGCACGTTATAAAACAGAATAATCTACTCACATTTCTGATTAGCAGTTTTAGTCAGTTAAAGAGGAAGTATGACATATTTTAAAACTCTATACTTTTAATCAGAGTCACAGTAGGTGTCTTGAACCCATACATCAGTGGTGACTTTTGATCATTTATAAAATATGACACAATGTTGTTTCTTGCCAGGCCCTCATGACATTCTTCAATAAAGTGATTGCCAATGAATCAAAAAATCGAATGAGTATGTGGAACATTTCTACTGTTATGGCACCAAATCTTTTCTTCAGTAGAAGTAAACATTCTGATTATGAAGAATTAGTATTAGCTAACACTGCCGCCCACATCATTCGCTTAATGCTCAAGTACCAGAAAATTTTGTGGAAGGTGAGTAACAATACAATAACTGTTAAACTTCTCCTTATAAGTCTACTAAAAGCTAGGGAACTTATATCTCCATTAACAAGCAATTCCACGTTATGGAAAGATAATCCTAGATTATACTTTTATAGAGGGTTTTTTGCTCTTTAACACATTCTACCTTTCTAATAGAATTCTTAATAGTTTCTTCTAATCTTTACAAGGCCCGATGTTACCATGTAGGTTTCAGGACACTGCGTGGCTAAGATGTTGCCATAATTGAATACAGAATCTACTAAGGAGAAGTAAGTCAAGCATATCACTTTTATTCATGTCATGTTTATTCTCCAGGTTCCATCTTTCTTAATCACTCAAGTAAGAAGAATGAATGAAGCCACCATGTTGTTAAAGAAGCAACTTCCAAGTGTGAAAAAGCTACTAAGGAGGAAGACCATAGAACGAGAGGTAATGAAAATTAAATGCAAATAGTGCTTAATACTTCTCAAGGGAGGAAAAAAAAGTATCTTGTAATTTCAAAAACAAACATTTTATATTCTTGTAAACTGTTGGACAGTCTTTTGTATATTAAATATGTAACAATTGTGTACATAATAGAAGATTGTGAACTTTCCATTTTATTTAATGAAAGACTTTTTTTGAAGTTATAAAAACATCTACATCATAAAGATATTTTAATATTCTGTTCAGTACCTACTAGAATGGCTAAAATGGTTCAGACGGTAGCTAAAGTTGGCGTTGAAGTCCCTGAGAGCCAGATTTAGGAGGAATAGTCTCTAGTATGTCTAGTAAGTAGGGAAGAAGACTTTACTTCATCAGTAGAAGGGTGATAATGGAACACCAAACCTTAAAGTCATTTTGTGAAAATTCATTGGATTCCAAAGTTCTGCTTTAGCACAACTGCATTTGTGGAGATCCATAAAAGAAACAGATATAGAAAACTATTTTAATTGAAGCTTTCATTTAATCTGAAGAGTGATAATAAGGAACAGGCTTTGCAATAGACCTTGAGAAAGAGACACATAGTGTTTTCATTAGGATTATAAACAATGGATATATAACTGCCATGAGTACACCAAGCGACAGGCAGTAAGTGCTAGATGATTGGTACAGACAATGTGCTAGGGCTATGTAGAAGGGAAAGAGTGTCTTCCAACATGGGACAGTTCAGAAGACATGAAAGAAGCAAAATTTGAGCTACAGCTTGAAAAATAAATGGCACCTTGAAGAAAGAAAAGAGGGGAAATTCCTTTAGAGAGAGGAACAATAAATGCCAAAGAGTGAAATGAAAAGCATTACTAATTAATTATCACATTCTAATCAGTCACTTCAAATCAAGTTGAACTTGTGTTTGTAAACTTAATTAATTGAGACAAAAGTAAAAAAAAAAAAAAACCAACCCACCCATTTTATCCTCCACCACTGAAACCCCCCTATTATGAAGTCAGATCTAACGCCGGCTTTCTGCCACAGAGATATTGGCAGATTTGAGTAGTTAACTTTTCAATTAGCAGCCTTACATTTTATGCTCTACACCATCAGAGCTGCTAAAAACATTTAAGTCACCATTTAAACTATTGGACTTTAGTGTATTTAAAATGGAGTTCAGTCTATGGACTTTAGTGTGTTTCTAGTGTTTTACAACCATCACCACTATGTGACATTTTTATTAGCATCAAAAAGAAAACTCATACCTACTAAATGTTCACTTTTCAATCTCTCCTCACCCCAGACAACTACTAACCTGTTTTCTTTCTATATTGATTTACCTATTCTAAGAATTTTATATAAATGGAAATTTCATTTTTGTGTCTGACTCATTTCACTTATTATGTTTTTAAAGTTTGTGTTACAGGATGTTTCTGAACTTTATTTCTTTTCTGATCAGGTAGCATGCTTATGAATCACCTTTTGTCCATACATGCACCTGTTTCTGAGCCTATGGATGGTTTCCACCTCTTGGCTATTGTGAATAACATTACAATAAGTAGAAGTGTACAAAGAGTTCAATTCCCTATTGTCAAGTCTTCTGAGTCTCTATACCTTGAACCAGGGGTTTTAGGTCATATGTTTATCTATGTTTAACTTTTAAAGAAACTACCAAGCCATTTTTTATGGTTTCTATATTATTTTTCATTCTTGCCAACAATGGATGAAAATTGCAATTACATTACGTCCTCTCACTAACACTTGCTGCTTTTGTTTTTCTGGTGATAGTGAACATAGCATGGTGTCCCAATGTGATTTTGACTTCCATGGCAGTGAGCAGAGAGAGAATTAGAAAAGACAGAGAATCTTCTCCTGTGCTCACTGACCATTTACACATTCTCTTTGAGCAGTATCTATTTAAGTCCTTATGAAAAATTAATTCTGATTTACAGATACTGTGAAATTAGGTCCAGATCACCACCATAAAGGAAATATGCAAATAAGCAAGTCACACATTTTTAGCTTCCTAGCCCTGGTGGCCCAGTAGTAAGGAGCTGCACTGCTATCCCAAAGGCATGTAGTTCAAATCGACCAGCTGCTCCATGGCAGATGGGCACTCTCCCCTGATATGATTTATAGCCTCTGGAAACTTAAGAGTCAGCTATGGGTCAGTTATGTCTCAACAGTACATAACAACAACAATTCATATAATTTTGTTTATACTTTATTGTGCTCTATTAAGTATGTTGTTGTGTTGAGTCAGAACTGATCCATAGTTGACCCTTCGGCAGGTTTTCAGAGGCAGAGTTAGTCATAAGGGAGATTGTCCATCCTTCTCCCATGGTGCAATTGGTAGCCTTGAACCACATGCCTTCAGGATTGCAGAGAAGATGCTTATCACTAGGCCACCAGAGAGCATATTAAGCATTAAAGTGTTAAATAAGTATACAAAAGCATTACTAAAGAGTTTGAAGTGCCGTGATAATGTGAAGTGAGCACACATTGTTGGAAAAACAATGTTCCTATAAACAGTTCCTTTACATGCTCAACTCATTATCACAAACACTGTCTTTTTTAAAAAAAAAAAAGAATATCTTCAAATAAGAAGAATATCTGCAATGACATATCCTTCCTTTCAGACAGATCATTTACAGGTTTATAATGCAAATGATACAAAAGACTATACACTAAAACTTGACTTCCTGTCACTTCCCCTCTTTTAGATAAATGGCATCACCAGTGATGATCGTGCATATTACATGCAGACGTGTGGCCTCCTGAGATACTCTTTGCTTGTATACTCATAAATGAATCTATCTTCTCCCTTCTTTTCTTATACAATGGCATTGTATGCTGTTTGTAAATTCAAAATATTTTTTTAAATATTAGTTTATTTACAAAATTCTAAAACATTACTTTCAAGAACAGATTCTTCCAATTTCTCACCCACCACTCATCAATTTGTACAACCCCATGATTAATCTCCCTTCCCCCTGAACATCCTCATCCCTGTGCTTCAACCCTCCCCCACCAGCCTTACATCCTTATACTCATTCTTCAATAATGGTTTTGTACGATGTTTGTCCTTGTGGGACTGGGTTAGTTCACTCAGTATAATGACTCTCCAGTCCTTTTTTAATAATGAAATGTGGTTTTTTCCTTTAGTTTACAAGCCCTAAGACTTCAAAATTACTGCAAAAATCACCCTCTACAAGAAGAGTGGTAAGAAAAAAAAATAATTTCCTTTTTTTTCCTATTAATCACCTCTTTTAATTATCTAGTGCTGCTATTAGAGAAATATCACACTTGAATATCTTTAACAAATAAATTTATTCTCACAATTTGTAAGCTGTTGTTGTTGATCAGCATCAGGTGTGTTGATTGGTGTTGACCATCAAGTCAGAACCGACCCATAGCTGACCCTACAGAGAGGGTTTTCAGAAGCACAAGAGGAGGTTGCCTGTCTTTCTTTTGCAGAGCAGTGGGTACAGTATTTTCTGCCTACACCAAATATATGTATATATGTCTGATTTTCTCAAATATTTTCCATTTTTAAATTGTGATCTGAGTGAAATTTTACAAAGCAAATTGTTTTCCATTCAATAAGTGTATGTATTATATTTGATAGTATGAATTACAATACATACAATGTAATCACATTTTTCCCACTTTCTCCCTATATCTCTCATTTCCATTAACCCTTCTACCCTTCCCTGACTTATGGGCATAATTCTTGTAAAAATGCTCTTCTTTTTACCTTATATGATTGCTTATTTTAAGGAATATCTCCCTCCCTGGTGTCACTAGTCACCTTACAGACATACCTATTTTTGCCTGAAAGTTGAGCTTGTACAGGGTTGAATTTTGTTCCAGGTTCATAAGCAAAGATAATAAAGAGCTTTAGGAGTTCCACCAATCTCTATCAGACTAGTAAACCTGGACTTTTGTTCCGTATTTTCACCCGCTCCATCCAGATCTACTGTTATCCCTTTTAGATTGATCCGAGTACCATATAGTTCTGGTCACAAAGTGGTGGAAATTGAGGTCTACATAGCCCATTAGTCCTATGGAATACTTATTTCTATGCCTCTTTCATTTTCTCGCTGCTTCTTGGTTCTGGACCAATAGTTGCTCCTTAGATGTGTGTTCACAAGTTTTTAAGACTCACCTAAGCAGGATGTAGAACATAGCTATTGTGTTTTGTGCCAGTTGACCTTGACAGCCCCTATGGCTATGGTCCCAACACCCCAGAATCAACAACTCCTCCCTCAGAGTGCTTGATCATGGTGGAGAAGCGTACATAGCTTTCCCCTCATTTACCTCTACTACATATGTGGATATTTTTACAGCATATACTTATATGAATGGAAAAATAGCATCTGTCTAACTTCTATATGGTCCTGGGTATAGTCCTTTTCATTTGTCCATACCATTTTGTCTTTTCTGTCTGTCATCCTTAGTCATTGTCCTGCTCTCTGATGCATAGCAAGTAATTACAAAATCCATGGCCTGATAGCCTGAATCAGGTATGCCTGAGTCTACAGACTGACATCGTTGCTCTTCAGCACTTTTGAGAGGTCTTTGACAGCACCTTTCCCCAAAGCAATTTGTGTTTTGATTTCTTGACTGCTAGTACCAAGCAAGCTGAAATTGGTAACAACCTCAATCTCTTCTCCATCTATCATGGTGTTGCCAAATGGCCCAGTAATGAGAATCTTTGTCTTCTTGATGTTGAGCTTCAATCCATATTGAAGATTGCAACTCTTGACCTTCTGCAGCAAATGCTTCAGGTCCTCCTCAGTTTCTGTGAGCAAAGTTGTGTCATCTGCTTAACATTAGATGTTGATGAGTCTTTCTCTAATCCTAATGCCACATTCCTCTCATCTATTATCTAATTACTAATTTTCATTCCACTCTTCCTCCCTCCCATTCCTGGAAACCATCCAAGAATGATTCTTTTGCATGTAAATCTTGCTATAGGTTTTCATAATAGTGACATGACAGTACCCTTTTATGACTGACTTATTTCACTCAGCATAATATTCTCTAGATTTCTTCCATATTATATGGTTTTTCTGAAATTCTTCCTAATTCTTTAGTGTTGGATTATATTCCATTGTGTTTGTATCTTAGTTTCTTTATATTTTCATACACTGGTGGGTGGGTATTTGAACTATTTCCATCTCTTTGCTATTGTCCATAAGGCTGCAATGAACATAGATGGGCATATCTGTTCCTGCTGCAGCTCTTACTTCTTTAGGATTTGTACCTAGAAAAGACATCAGAGAGAGGAGAGCTCTGTAGCTTAGTATTAAGGAATTGTGCTGCCAATGCAAAGGTATGCAGTTCAAACCCGCCAGATGCGTTGTAGGAGAAAGATGAAGGGTCTCCTCTGATGCAATTAACTGCCTCTGAAAACCAGCTGAAGGGTCAGCAAGGAGTTAGTTCCAACACAACAATACAAAATAATAACAAGTGTAATCAGGCAGCCCCAGTGGTCTATTGGTAAGAAGCTGCACTGCAATCCGAAAGACACACAGTTCAAAATTACCATCTATTCCATTGAAGAAGGATGGGCAGTCTCCTGTGTGATTTGATGCCTCTGAAAACCCACTGGAGGGTCAGCTGTGAGTCAGTTCGAAGTCGAAGGCACACATCAGCAACAATTGGCTGTTATTGCTAGAGCGAGGTGATATCTCATTGTTGTTTTGAGTTCCATCTGTATCTAGAATTTCTTCACATGTTTGTTGACCATTTGAATGTCTTCATTACTTTTTCATGTCTTCTCCTTACTGCATTTTTACTTTAAGTTGTCCTTTTCTCACTGAGGTATTAGAGATGTCTATACATTTTAGACATCAGCCAGATATGTCAAAAATTATCAACTAATTTTTCCCAGTCTATAGATTCATCTTGTACTCCTCTGTAGAAGGCTTTTGATGTCAGAGATTTTATTTTTAAATATTCCAAACATCTGGCTTATCTTCTGTTGTTTATTTTCAGTTAGGCTTGATAGTATATTTATGATACAATGAACAACTGGGACCCCAAATTTACTCCTAGTTTTTTCTTTGGTGGTATTTATAGTTTTAGGTTTTATGCCTATCGTAAATTTTCTGCAAATATCCAGATTGTTGTTGGGGGTGTTGTTGTTATGTGCTGGTGAGTTGACCAGAACTCAGTTACCTATGAACAACAGATTGAAACTTTACCCTTCACCATTCTTACAGTTTCTCATTGTTATAGTCACCATGTCAATCCATCTTCTTGAAGGTTCCCCTCTCATTATCTAACCTTTTCCACCTTCCCCAGGATGTTTTTGTGTCGTCCCCGCCCCCCCCCCCGCAAAGACTAGTTCCTCCTGACGACATGCCCAAAATATGTGAGACAAGGTTTCACCATCCATGCATCCTTTCTACATATTGTTGTTATTATTTACCACTGAGATGGAAAAGAGTCATAGTTGACCTTCTAGTGGGTTTCCAGAGGTAGTAAATGGCACAGGGAGAAATTTTTCATCTTTCTTCAATGGAGCAGCTGGTAGATTTGAACCATGTATCTGAATTGGCAACACAGCTCCTTACCACCAAGCTACCAGATCTCCTTTTCTGTATATTATTATTGCTATGTGCCATCAAGTCTGCACCTATGAACTCATAGCTGACCCTCCAGCAGGTTTTCATAAGCAGCAAATCACCTAGAAGGAGATTGCCCATCTTTCTCCCACGGAGAACCTGATGGATTCAAACCACTTGCTTTTAGATTGACAGTGCAAGTCCTTACCACTAGGCCCCCAGAACCCATTTTTCATATATTGTTATTGTTAGGTTCCATTGAGATGACACGAACCCATAACAACTCTTAACAGTAGATTTGGGCTCTACCCTGTCCTGTGCCATCCCTATCATCACTGGTATGCTTGAGCCCATTGTTATAGTCACTGTGTCACTCTACTTTGTTGAAGGTCTTCCTTTCTTTCCTTGACCCTCCACCTTATCAAGCATGATGTTTATTACCAAAGACTGACCCCTCTTTACAACATTCCCAAAGTATCTGAGACAAAATTTCATCTTTCTTTCCTCTAAGGAGCACTCTGGCTGCACTTTCTCCAAGACATATTTGTTTGTTCCCCCCCTTTCATGTTTTAGTTTTTATTAAAATATCTAAAACAATAACTCTGTTGACCTAGTGGTAAAAAATTGTGCTGCAATCCCAAAAGTACGTGGTTCTAATCCACCAGCTGCTCCTTGGGAGAAGGATGGACATTCTCCTCCCAATTTATTAACAAGCTCTGATAACCCACTGGAGGGCAAGCTATGGGTAATTCCTGACTTGACTGTGGTAACAAAAACAACAACAATAATTATAAATGTTTTCAAATTTTCCCCTCTGTGTTTCACAGAATTTCATACTGGAAAACCCCAACTCTCTCACATCCTCTGTGGTAAGGATACAAAATTGTATCAAGTATTTGCTTTGTACTTGGTACATGTAATCTCAATAAACTTGTAAGGAAATTAAAGTTCAGAGAGGTTATATATACTGTCCATGGATATGTAAATATCAGCACTAGCCTTTGAATGTGTGTTATTGAAAATGATGTTGTACATGCTATCTACAACTTCTGAGTAGAAATAGGAAAGAGGTGTATGTAGAGGGGAAAGGAGTTCATTACCTCAGTTTCCCCCCATTCTTTCTTTTTTGTTTGTTCTTTTGACAGTCTATAGCATATTTTGTGTGTTGCTTATTTTTGTTTTCTTTTATTTATTTATTTTATGCTGATTTATTTACAAAGTTTGCTGGGAAAAGAATCGGTGTGAAAAACAAACCATGGGATATTTAATACTCCTCTCCAACATTATACCATCAGGTGAAGTCCATGTGTATAACCTGCGTTTGTGTCTCTTATAAAATGTGTTTGCAATGAATAAGTCATTGATTTTACAAAATTCAAT